TCATTTCTCGAAGTCATCCAGGCCTTGCAAAGGATTGGTTCATTACAGCACTCGTGTCAGGCAACTTCAGAGCTGAAGAACCTGAAGATGATTGGCCATATACGCAAACTTCATCCACTGTTGGACGAGATGGGAATTCTAAGAGTTGGGGGTCGACTGGAAAACGCTCTAATTGACTAGGATGCAAAGCATCCAATCATTCTTCTTTACCGAGATCACGTGACAGATTTAATCATCTCGCAGCATCACCAGAAAACCGGTCATCTGGGTCAAGAGTAGGTTTTGTCTAGCCTGCGTCACCAGTATTGGGTAATCAAGGAACGATCAGCTGTGCGTCGTGTGATCAGTGGCTGTTTTCTGTGCAAGAAACTTGGTGCCGTACGTGGGGAACAGCTGATGGGTGATCGTCTAAAGGAAAGGCTGATGTCTGAAGAACCGCCGTTTACTCATGCGGGGCTGGATTATTGTGGTCCTCTTTATGTACGTCAGGGTCGTTCAAACGTGAAACGTTATGGTTGCCTTTTCACCTGCCTTGCTGTCAGAGCCGTCCATATTGAAGTTGTCCATTCCCTTCAGGTGACACGGATGGCTTCATAAACGCCTTGCAAAGATTTGTCAGTTTGAGGGCGCTTTCCAAAAGTCAGAACTGATCGGCTGGACCATAGCCGGACCAGTCATTTTGACAATGAAGAATGCTTTTTTCCAAGAGTTTTTGTTTAAACACCATCTCCTTCGTGCACGCTATTTAGGATTTGACTGATCTGATTGGATAGTTTTGATAAAAAGTGAAATTCTCATTATGACTGGAATGGTCTGGCCGGGCAGTTCCGACAAATGGAAAGCGCCATGAGAGTATGTCCGGCTACCATCTTCAGTGACAATGGTACAAATTTTCGTGCAGGGGAGAAAGAGCTCTGTGAGTCGTTAAGTGAATGGAACCAAACAACGATTCACGACTTTCTTCGTCAGAAAAACATCATCTGGAAATTTAATACCCCTGGAGCATCTCTTATCGGTGAAGCGTGGGAAAGAATCAATTCGCAAAATCCTAATAGCCTTGCTGGGACAACAACTTTTCACTGATGAAATGCTGCAGATCCTCATGGCCGAAGTTGCAGGTATTTTGAACAGCCGACCTTTGACACTAGTGAGCAGCAACCCTAAGGACCTAGAACCTCTCACACCGAAACATTTGCTGTCATTGAGATCGAATCCAAGTAAGCGCGTTGGGTCCTTTGGCAGGAAGATAATTTTCAGCAAGCGCCGTTGGCGACAGGTGCAGTACATCTCAGACATATTCTGGAAGCGCTGGCTAAAGGAGTATTTGCCAGCCCTACAAGAAAGAGCAAAGTGGATGAAGCCTCGGCGTAGCTTGAAGAGAGGAGATCTAGTATTGATTGCAGATGAAAATGTCCATCACGGAAAATGGTCGTTAGGCAAAGTTGATGATGTCTTTCGAGGAAAAGACGGACATGTCAAATTAGCAAAGGTTCAGACTGGTTTAACGGCTCTTTCAAGGCCAGTAACAAAATTATGCTTCCTTGAAGGACAGAGAGCGGCACATTGAATAAAAAAAAACAACCTTTTTTTTTTCTACGGAAACTGTGAAAGGAATTTATTTCATCACTACTAACAGTTCTATTTAAGGATCTAGGACTTACGCTCGTGCTTAAGTAGTGACTCTATTAATAAACTGTATAGAGACTTGGGAAGTTCATTGGGGCGGGCATGTAGCCACGAGAGACTGCGAGTTTTTTCCTGTTCTTTATTTTCTCATGTTTTGCGTTGCGTAAAGCTATTTTAAGTGGTACCTTTGATATCGCGCTTAGCCTTTTTTCATATGCGTATTCTTTCAGTAATTCTTAGTCTCGGCGTCGGGTTACGTCATTGTTATTGACAATTTTCGTAAGTTCGTTAGGTTTATTGGTTTCAGTCCAGTTTAGTATAAAGTTTTATTTTTTGGTCCATGTGAATCGGTCGCTTAGTTGTATCCTGAGGTGCCGCACAGATCTTGCAAGTATTAACAGTTTTTTCTGTATTTTTTGCTCGTTTTCTTAGTCAGTTGTTGTACTTTGAGTTATCGTTTTTGGAAGGTTTTCGGTTCGCGTTTATTAATTCTGTATTTTCCTTTTTGCTGTAACTGTTCTAGTGAATAGAAAAGTAAAAGTCGAAATCAAACTGTATGAGAGTGTTTTCTACAGAGAATGTCAATCTATCTTGACCGAACAAGCTTGGTCGACGGCGGATTTACTATATGGCTAAAATAGGAACATTTAAGCTAGAATACGGTACCAACGCGGAAAATCTCGGGCCTATCTTGCTCGCTTGGGTAGTCCATCAGAAAACAGGATTCTCTTTATCTTGTCCGCTCATGGAATCAGCCGTACAATAAGATTCCTTACTGTCTGCACGCGGTTCAGTGGCGAGAGCAGTTGCAGAATCAGCATTTTTTGTCTCTATCTTTTTAGAACTGTTGGCATATATCATGACCCAAATTGGCTTGCTTTTGTTACTTCTCTCATCGATAACAGTGTCTCTGGCTGGTAAGTATACTTTCTTGTCCTAAAGCGCTGTCCACTTTTAAAAATTGCTGGTTTTCACTGTGACGCAGTCAAAGAGAAATCAAAACCGTTCAATAAATATAGTCCAGAATCTGGGAAACAAAATGAGATAGCTACCCTAAGATCTTCACCAAGATTCAAGTCGCTACAACAGTGTTGGTGCCCATATGGATGGGCACCAACATGCGGGCCGGAACCCCTCCAAATTATCTGCCACTGAGTTTTCTTATGAAAGTGTGAACTCATCTCTAGAAGAATCCATAAACAGTAAAGTAAAACTTTTTTCTAATGCAATTGCGGTTCATATAGAAAATAAGATATCTTTTTAACCTACTTGACAGCCCTCTCGTCCGCCGTGTAAATGCGTGAGTAACAGGCTGCTCTTCTTCTCTAGGAATTTTTGTTACCAATTTTATCTCTTATTGTCCAGAGGTTTCGTCGGCTTTACTATTCGCTCCTGGTAGATCTCCAAAAATGATCAAAAGCTAAACCAAAGCTGCTGAGAACCGAGCTACATTCCTTTCCCTTTGTGTTTGTGGTCTAACGAACTAACTAATCACGTATAAGAAACTTGACCATTACGTGAGCCACAGGGCGCCAGCAAGCGGACACGCTCAATTTCTACAAATCAATCAATCGTCGCTTAATTTGGATGGGCTCTGTGTCCGCAATCTAAGAAAAGGTTAATTTGCAGAAAAGTTTGTTTTAAGCGGTTAAGAAAGTTCCAAGTGGAAAAAAGAGTTTGATAGGCCTACAAGACTCTTACCAGGATCGGTTGGTTCTTCATTTAACATGCACATGTACTGATATATACGTATGCTGAATTTCATGTGCTGGATGTGTTCATTATATTGCTGCACGGTGTACATTTGAAGACTAAACTCTCAAGGATACTGATTTAAAAAAAAGCAATCTTATAATTTTCGATGTGCGATTTCCCGAAACTATACCCGGCAACTTTATAAGCACATCAATGTTGTGCATCGCATTTGCCCGACTTGTGTGTCATCCTTGGTGAAAAAACCTGTGAGCTTTTTCTTTGTTTTCTAGTTATTACTTCCTTGGCTCTATTGTGTTGACTTCTCAGTGGCTTCTTTGTATTAATTGTTTTACGTCACTCTTGAGTTTCACAGGTTTTTGCACCTAGTATGAGCCGACTTACTTACTGCTGCTCCTTATCTCATAAATTTTGAATAGGAGTCAACTAAGACAACACTACTCTCGTTGATTGCTTGTTTTCACGCGATTATTTTGATTGTGCTGTCATTCACACATGGAGCACTGATAAAAGCGAAGTTGTGATTGGTGGAGTCTGAGCGTGCTGCAAACGAGGCGTGAACCCCTTCCAGAAAATGGGAGCTGAATTGACCACTCCAGAAAATACCATAACATACCATAATACTCTTAATAAGTCACTCCAGCATTTTGCATAAGCATTGTCTTTAGTTTCTCTTGGGAGTTAAAATGGCCCCAAGAGAAACTGAAAACAATGCTTATGCAAAATTTTGGAGTGACCAACAAAGAGTATTATGGCATGTTATGGTATTTTCTGGAGTGGTCAATTATAATTGGCTAACCGCTGGAAAGGAAAGTGGTTCGATTCTCAGCAGCCGTTTGTGGGGAGGAGCGTTGCGTGACGACACTAAAAACGGCTGCGTAGCAGACTATTTAACAAGAGGATTAGTATAAGTATTTTTTCTTTTTTGCGATCTTAAAAACATGCTATGGGCAAGGTTACGTGAAATTTTATTCTATATACAGTTGAACCTCCTTGTGCGACCACCTCTCGTAAGAGACCACCTCCCATAAGTGACCACCAAACCAATACACCGCAATTTTCCCAGTCAAAGCCTTACAGTTGGAACCTCTATTAAACGACCACCTCCTGTAAACGACCGCGATCACTTTTTGGGCCGACATGGAATGATTTTCCATTGTTTTTAACGCCTTGTAAGCGACCACTTGACGCAATCTTTGTTCTCTATTTTCGCGGTGTGCACTATGCTACTTAGAAAATGCCAAAAACTTAAGTAACAACATGGAACTACACATGGCGTAAATTAGAAATTAAATGCAATAAGTTATCTTCCATAAAGTAGATGTGCCCAGACCTCTTCTCGGAAGATGTCCCCCTGTGTTTCGATTCTTGTAAGCGACCACCTCCAGTAAGCGACCGCTAAGTCTTTAGATAGTCGCATACGGGAGGTTCGACTGTCTTGCTTAGACCAACTATTACTGTTCCCGTCCTTCTAATTTTAGCTCCATAAAAAGTAGCTGCGTTTGAACACGAAAAACCACATTATTATTATTATTATTAACGGACATTTTCCTGGAGTTGGTCCCTTACGTTCTCAAGTCATTTTCTTTGACTTTTTATAAGACCGACACCTCTCATGTCCTCAAGACTGGAAAGAATTTGAAAACTCGTGCTACAAGGTTATGGACAAGATTAATTATAGGCGGCAATTCAGTTGGTCGACAGCTTCACGCGTGTGTTTTTCGTTTGGAGGAGACCTTGTAAGTGTGGCGAATAAAAGGGAAATGGATTTTGTTCATAACCTGTCTTCCAACATCATTGACAATCCATCCTGGATTGGGCTGGTTTATCGGTTTCAGAAAGATGGATATTTATGGAGCAATGGAGAATCCTTTAATGAGTCTTTTCCTGTCAAGTGGCTCGGTAACAGATCGAGTACTGCATGTGAAGACAAATGTGTTGAAATCTTGGGAAATGGTTGGAACCTTACCAAATGTTGCAAGGAAAACAAATACTTCATCTGTGAAAGGGCGAAAGGTAAGTTGTTCCCAAGAAAGCACTTGATAAGAAAAAATAAAGCATAGGCAGCGTTGTGTTTTTGAGATAAAAACGTCATAGGCTACAGCAAAAACCACTGACGAGTATCGGATCTTCTGTAAACAAATATTAGGATACAAATAGATTTTGCTATTCCTTTTTATTTCATCTCCGTATTCTCTCAGTCTCCTTGCTGTAAGGATCAGTTTACAACTGCTGTGTTTGAGCCACGCCCAGATGCCATATTCTGATATCTTTTAGGGGTGTATTTTGAAAATTTCCGACTAGCACCTCCACACGTTTATGGAGAAGCACCTCCCCCTCCAAGAACAAGTCAAAGCTTTTAAATATAATTGGTCCCGGCTGTTTTGAGCAGTTTTGCCAAAGATTAAACTTTTAATGCAAAACTACGGAAAAAACAGTTGAGTAACAAATACATCTTATAATTTTTGGCGAGACATCTCGACTGGCTTTAAAAAGGCACCAAAACAGCTCTTATGGCAACATCTAATATTCTATAATATGATCATTATATTATTTTAGATAAGAGCCGGCTACCAAGTGGTATCAATCCACAAATTAAATCTTAAACACCAACAGGTAGGACGAGCTCCCCCAATTTTTTTTAGGTGACTCCTTCCCCGAGGAATTGTTTTGCTTTCGTCTTTTCTACAGTTATCGCCAAAATTACTTCGAGTTTTAATTGGTTCACTGCTCACGTCTTTCCTCTTGTTAGATTGGTATGTGTGATCAAATGATGACCGGTGAAATTAGGGAATAATTTCACGCGTGTTTTGTCCAAATCGTACTAATTTAGGCAAGGGAAATTACTCCCTAATTTCACGAGTATGCCATTTGATTACATATTAATATCATGGGTGACGAATTATTCTCACAATCGCAGGTTTTTGACATGTTTATCAAATGATCATCGATCGAGAAATCTGCTTAAGTTCGTGAGTTTTAGACTTTTGCGACAAAGTTCCTGATAGAATCGCTCTTGATGTGCTCTTTCGTGTGTTTCTGACATCTTCATTTCTAACATTTTTAAAACTTTGCCACCATCTCGGTATTGAGACGTACCGAAGGTTGTCATGGCAATTTTGTAATTTCACATGTGAAATTATAAATAATTGCTGAAATTTCGCGCCAAAATTAAGGAGTAATTTGTCAACCATAATGTGATCAGATTAACCTTCTTGGTTTAATGTAATACTAACAGTTCTTTAAACTAGGTCCACTGGCTTGCTCTACCGGTTGGTATCTTAATGGGTCATCTTGCCACATAGAAAATAAAAAAAATACATGGAAAGGTGCTCAAAAGGGCTGTTTTAACTTCGGAGGAGGTCTGGTGAAGATAGATAATTACGATCAGCGCTGGTTTTTGATTCGTTTCCTGGAAATTTCTGGTCTAAAGAAAGCGGAAATAGATGTAAGTACGAGTTATTTACTGCAGGCATCACCAGGTGTTAAAATCAAGCGCAGCGACATGCTTACTCATGTCTTCTTTTTGTGTAAAGAATAGAGAGAAGTCACTACGTCACATTGCATGGAAGCAAAATTTCTGAATCTTAACAAACCTTTCTCGCGCAGATGTGGCGGCCATGTCAATCAGCGCGCACGCATCAATCTTCTCTGATGAGCCGAAGTCGATTAATCGGGGAAAGAACCAATACAATTTTATAGTTGCTGAGTTGTTTGAATATTCTCCCGTACGTGATTGCTCTTTCCTGCCTTTCTTCCATCGTTCGAGAATGCAAATGGCCGTCTCCCTCAAGAGGATTTCCCAGCCATAGCTATAGTTTGAATAGGTCGAAACTTGAAGTGAGTCAGTAAGATTACTTTTAGCATGCTGTCCCTGAGAGACTGTATCTTATTCTCAGAAAACTCAGCAAAGGTGTTCGCGAGATCGTTGTCGTTTGCGTGCGATGGTAGTTTTGGTGCTGCCTTGAGATGCAACAGGTTTTCAAACGTTGAGAACAATACCCGCGGATTAGAACTATTGTCTTTAATGGTGTCTGCACAAAACTTCATCCTTGAGTTTGAAATTAGCCTGTTAACGCATTTGCATTGCTTAACAAACACTTCCCTAGTAGTCGTAAGTTTGTTTTTCCGCCATATCCTCTCCAGTCACCTTCTTTATACTTTTTCCGCTCTGATCTGATCGTTATACCACGGCGCAGCGGGTCGTATAGTAACAACACGTTTCTTAGCAGGCGCGTGTTGCTCAAGTAACCCCGATAATGTTCTGTCATAGCAGTCTACGAGAGAAGAGACCCTCTCAAACTTGTTATAATTTGCTAATTCTGATTTTCGAATATTCTAGATAAAGCATTCTCTATCAATTGACCGCAGTTTCCTATATGTTATTTCCAGCCTTTTAAAATCTGGTTTCTTGATAAACAACCCACAATGCACAGCAGAATGGTCGTATATGACTGGATCAGACACTTTGATGTATTTTATAAAGTTAGCATTGGCTTTGGTGATCACTAGGTCTAGGGTATGTCCATTTTTGTGGGTGGAAGCACTAATGTGTTGTATGAGATTGAAAGCTTCAATTAAACCCATAAAACGAATAGCAAAACGGTCAGTTGGGACGTCGAGGTGGAAGTTAAAATCTCCAGTTATTAGGAGCAGTCCATTAGTACCAGCCAGTACTTCTAGAAATGGTCTTAAATCTTGAGATATTTTTTAAATCGCGAAAAACTTGAAAATAAAGACCCACGAAATTAAATACTAATAAGGTACTTATTTTTCTTTTTGATTTGATCATAAGTAATTAAAATTCAAGGGTAGCCTTGGTTTTCGCGACGCACGTCTCAGAAAGGCTTCTCGCTGAATTATGGCATAGTCATGTTAATGCCCAAGAAATACCTTCCATATATGTCGGAAAAAAAAAAAAAAAAAAAAACAGCGGACGGAACTCCCACGGGTTATTTCAGGTCGTCTGGCGAACAGACTTAGAAGTCTATTTGGAACGAACACAAAATAATTACGTGGAGTTGTTGGACTTATATCTACGCCGAATGCCTTATCTAAATACATTATTCGATGAGGTAGTTAGCCTGCAAGGGACCTGCAAAAACAATTCTCTCCCAGGGTCCCACGGAAAAAGCTTCAACTTGTCGCAATTCTCTCCCTGCGTGTGAAAAAGTCTTTCCTTACAATAAAGGAATGTGCTATTTGTAGATCGCTCGTCAAATTGATAGCGGAGCTCCACGCGCACGCTTCGCGCGCGTGTGGGCGGAGTCCCATAGTCCCGAGAGACCGTCCGTCTGCACTACAGGAAAACCAATGTTTACTTTCACACTTTCTAACTTCTTTTGGGAGCCCATGAGAAAACTGATTTAACGTCAATGTTGTGATCTATTGACAGCTGTTGAAACAAGGTATCCGCTGACCAGTATTACCTGACCGTATCGCGGGCTCAGGTGTCGACCCATTGAGGTCGAGTACTTTTTGAAGTTATCCGCTGAAAAGTTACTAGTTTTCAAATGATCGCAGGCTCAAGTTTATATTTTTAAAAAATTCATATGAAATATGTTGTGTTTATGTCACTATGACCCCGCACTATTAAGATTTTGATTTCAATCCAACCTCGTACGCGAAAATTGAGCCGGTTATTTAGAACTACAGGCGGGGAAGACCTTTTCTTACCAAGGTCACGCGTTGGTCACGCTTTACGTCCAATTTTTATGCTTTGATAGGTCAAACCTGACAAGTGAGTTCATGAGGAAAACTTATGCAGCATCTTGAAACCTGTTCACTGAAGCTGACAGACTTTTGTGTCAACTGCTGATGTTTTTAACTGTCTTTTTGCCCTGGATGTACAAAATGAAATACAGCTGCTATCAAGAGTCTTCTGTTATTCATGGCTAGTTTGTTTATCGGTTTTCTGGTTGAGAGATGCGTGGCTTGTCAAAGTCCGAAATCCGATTTCCGATGGCATCGTTTTCGTTTTTCACATTGCTTGATGCATAAAAGAGGGTTCAAAAGTCTCAAGCGATTCCGGCCTTACTTGATAGCTTTCAGGAGCTGCATCTCGAATGGTAAGCCTGAGTAATTATTGTATTTGACGTTTGTTTTTTTTTTTATATCTAATTTCGTGAAGTCGAGCACCGTTTATGCGGCAAGTTTATGCACGTTTGTAAGATCTGAGACAATGATCTGACCTAGTAACAGGTTTGAGATAAGCTTACAGAACTTTAAAAAGCCTTTAGATATATTTTCTCAACGCAATTAGAAAGAAAACGTTTCGAAGAATAGTTAATTATAAATTTGGCTGTAGAAAGAAAACTTTGAGCGATTTTCTTGCCTCGAGTCATCTTTGAAAAACAGCAAACACCGGGAGATCGGCTTCACAAAACGTAAACTTAAGCTTTAAGCTTTAAGACGCAGGATTTTTAGAAACATTTTAATACTTGTCCTCGTGAATGTAAATTGTTGTCTCTGTAAATGTTTCACCGAATTATATTTCCTTTATTGATTTTTAGTAGTCTCTCTTGCAATTTTAATCGCTGTGCCGTTTGTTTTCAGTCGTTCATGAACATCGCTCGCAGGAGTACTCAAAATACCGCGCATATCAAGAGCTTTTTAAGATTACACATCGTTACAAAACCATTCAATAAAAAAATAAACATGATAAATTCTTTATTATGTCGAAGCGTAACTCTCTTAATGTTCATTGCTAATTTGGCACTCGTCAAAAGTGAGAACCGGCTGGCCGTATAGGTGATTTTGGAAATTTTTTGAACGGTTTCGCTGAAAGCCCACGATTGATCGTCCTGAATATTGACTGATTGCAATTTGTCTTGAAAAATTGTGAAATACTGCATTCTGTCCGAGGTCTGTATGATAAATAGTACTGTTTCACCTGAGATGTGATGTATATAAAGTATAAAAGGCTGATTTACCACCGCCAGATTTGTTGGCAAGATTTCGTAAAGTAAACTTATCCAGGGTTCGCACAGTCTTGAAAAGTCCTTGAATTTTCTTCAACTTTGAATTTAGTGGCATGGAAGTGTTTTTTGATGATTTTTGGTTGTCTAAGACAGAATAAGGGGTGGCGAATGGTAAAATCCGAGACTCGCCGAGACGCCGAGATCCTAGCTAGAAATCCGAGCCCGAGACTCTTTGGTAAAAGTTTGGAGACTCAAAAAAGTAAAAACAAACCATGCAAAAACGAGACTTCGAGACTTATCAAAAACGTTTCCGAGATTTCGAGATCCTGCCAAACTTTTCCGAGACGCAAGTTTTTTGAGGTACCATTCGCACACTCCTAGAATATGAATCATAACTCAGAGCATTTAAAGGTTATTTACACAAAGTGCTCAATTTTTTACGCAATAATTAACTAACTTAATTAAAGTTAAGTGAACTGAAAAATGTTGAGAAGTTGGTGAGGCAAACAGTTCAAGCCTAAGGCTGCGTGCAAACGGGCGCAACAACTCCCAACATTGTTGCGCCAACAATGTTGGGAGTTGTTGCGTGCGTATTGGCAGTGGTGTGCAAACGGAAGCAACAACTCCCAACAAGTTTGGGACCTTCGGTGCATCGTGGGAAGAATACAACCCCTAAGTCTTTGTAATCCATGCGAAATGAGAGTGCGTGGCCCCAACAATGTTGGAAGAGCTGTGCAAACGGATCCAATATTGTTGCGCTACGCTTCGGCGATCACGGAACAAAGAAAATGTTGGGAGTTGTTGGCTGAAAAGTTTGATCGGTTTCAAACTTTGCGCAACAACACGCAACAACATCCAACAACATGCAACAAGGTATGCAAACGGACGCAACATGTAACATCCAACATGTTGCGTCCGTTTGCACGGGGCTTTAGAGCCTTATAAGAATAGACTGGAAATGTGCATTTTTGTACAATCTTTGAAATTATATTCCTAGTAGGTGGTCCTTGAAAAGTCCTTGAAAAATGATTGCAATTATTTGTATGAACCCTGTTATCGAAAGCAAAAAATTTGGCCTGATTTGTTTTCCAGGCCTAATCTACTGTGATCAAGAGCCATTATAGCTCTTGAATGTGATCGAAGATGATTGCTATTTTTTGGGGTGTACGAATAAGGCTATCAACTCGATGTAAGATGTTTCACTCTAAAATCACTTAGCCTTTCCCTCACACATGAATGTGCCCTTAAGTTGACTGATTTGTGGATTACAAATTTATTGTTTGATTTAAATTATAAATTTATTAATGGGAGCTTCGTTTTTAGCCCTGGCTAAATCTATATATGACAGTCCATTTGGATAGTAACAAACCCTTTATATGCAATGTCCGACAGAAATAAAACTGAAACTTTATTTGCTTTGCAAGGTTTAAGGGACAGAAAATTACTGTTTACAAATAACTGTATTTGAAACCCCAGAAATTGACCCTGTCACATTTTATAGGTTTAGAGCGACAATAATACTGTCATGTTATATTTTTGGGGAAAAGCCGGGGGGGGGGAGGTGTGTTGTGCAAAGTCCCAGTTAAAAATAATGCTGGATCAATCGAAGTTTCTGGGTAACTGCTGTCAACCTACCCCTCCCCTAAGTCCACATCAACACTTACTTCTCATTTAGGGCAAAATTGTGACTCTAAACTAATGACAATCATTTCTTCTTTCAAAAGGCGAACTTGCCTATCTAGCCCGGTTTGAAAACGCGCAGCGGCGCAGACCAATGAACCCCCATTTAATATGGGGGCCTTGTTTGCACTTCGACTAGATTTGTTAATGCCTTGTCTGTGTCCATTTTTAAGTACGTGTGGGTTGACAACACCGGGAACTCATCAAAATGTAGACGAATGAAGACAGACACCGGAACGATAGAGGAGCCCGACAATTGTGAAGAGCAGTATCTGCACTATGTTTGTGAAAGGCCAGCCGCCTTAACAATAAGTAAATACAAATTTTATATGATCCAGTTCTATTTAAGGTTTAGTTAAGACACGGGGGGAGGCTTCCCAATATTAAAAGAGGGGGATGCTCGACGCTCTTGTCTAGGGGCACGTGTAAATTGCAGATTTTAGTGTCATTAACGAGTTTAGAACTGAAAGCCATATTTGGACCCACACAAGTAGAGCTTTGCGCCAAGAAATGACGGAAGAAGAAGAAGTAAAGAAGACGAGCACAGTTCAAACGTCAAACTTTTTATGTACCGAACTTGATACCTATGATACAAGTTCTATGGTTGTCTCAGTCGTCGACCTTCAACTAATCGGACTCAATTCATTTTCACCATGTTTGCTTACCAGAATAATAATTTGTAGTAATTAAAGCATAATTAGGTTCGGTATATGAAAAGTTAGACTTTTGAAACGAAGTCGCTCCACAGTCGAAATTCCTATGTGGGCCACTCGATCTAAATTCATGTGTCGACCCAAATTAGATATGTCGGACTTAATTGATTCGAACGACGATTGAAGGGATTAGGTTCGATACATGTAAACTGGGCCTAAGCTGATTCAATCACAACTTCTTTATCACAATTAAAATTACTATAGCTCTTATTTAGCTATTTGCTTTAGTAATAGGCCCTGTTCAGAAGCCGAACTTTTCATGAGCTGAACCTAATACTTTGAATTAAGCACATGAAACTGGTTCGGCGTCTGAATCAATTACGAACGCCTTTTTTAATTTGGAACGGCTCAGCCGTTTTTTTTTTCGCCTAGCCCGGCAGGGAATTTCGTCTTTGGAGCGACTCTGGAACGGCTTTGATTCAGACGCCGAACTTTTCTTTTCCCGAACCTTAATGCATAAATTATTATAAAATATTTTGTAAGCAGTTTGACCGACATGAGCTTTTGAACTTAGTTTAGCTGCAATTAACATCGGCGTCTGAATCAATTCAGCCGGTCTAAATAATTTGGGTAGGCCTTAATTCGAATTAGGTTCGGCTCATGAAAAGTTCGGCGTTTGAACCGGGCCTTAGGTATCTTTTAGGCTTCAAATGAAGCTACATATACAGCTACGTCACAGATTGGTGTCCTTTTGGGGTTTTTAATATTCCCATTTTCCGACTAGTCAGACTTGCACTGCGTATGCCCGGGTTACTCGGAGTTTGTTCTGTCGTGAATTGTAATAATATCTTGAATTGTAATAATAGTTGTCGTAAATTGTAATATCTGTCGTACTAATTGTAATAACAGTTGTCGAGAATTGTAATGACAGATGTTACAATTCACGACAGAACAGAGTTCCCAGGGAGTTAAGGGGAAGAACATTTCGATTTGCGAGCTAAAGTGATATTGACAAAAAACATTAAAGAAAAAGAAAAAGAATGACTCATTTTTCCTGCTGGAGTCATTGTTGAGTAACTTTTTTATAGTCCCTATTATGTTGCGTTTTTTATACATCTTTTTTTTCTTAATTCCTCAAAAAAACATTTTTTTTTGTTTGGGGGTCTAATTTTTGCGTTTCCAATTAACTTTTAGCCGAGAGTCCCTTGTTCCTCATCAGGCAATTTTTAATGAAAGATACCGCATACTGTATTAGTATATTACTGTATTATATTATTGTCAGTTTAATATTCTGCATTTCCCTTTAGGTAATTTGTGTTATCAGTACCCAAGCAAGAATTCATCGGTTCCCATCACAACCAACTGCTTATTCCCAGAAAACCTTTGTTTCATGTTTGAGAACAAAACGGAGAATAACGAACAAGTCACTATTCAAGGCTGCATATCTGCTGATCAATGCAGACTGTTTGATGACAAACGTTTACAATGCTGTGACGGAGATTTTTGCAATACTAGTAGGTATCATGGTTATAGAAACGCAATAGGTTGGTTCTTCATCAAAAGGAAAATAGCGCGAAGTTAAGGTTTTAAGTCATGGTGAAGAGTGGAAAACTGATCGGAAAGCAAATATGGTGTACTCTTACTGATTTTTTCTTTCTTTTTATTTTTAATTGTTACCTCTTTTGATTATAATGCATCTTCATTTCGCAACTTGTAAGTCTTCCGCCAATCTACGGATGACTGGATTTGCAAAAGCATGTCTTTTTTTTTCACTTACTTTCTATTTATCTAATTTGTACCGACTATTTACTGAATAGGCTGCAGTAGATAGTGTGGGTTGTCTTAGACTTTTTTTGGCTGGCTTGAGCAACGTTTTCCGCGGGGCATCATTAAGCCTTATGAAGGAACAATTCTCACGACTGGCAAAGTCTGCTGCGTCCAATATCCGGGCTACACGGATGATGTCCGGGCTACACGGATGAAAGACTGATCCCGGGCTTGAGACGGAAAGATTGGATACTGCGAGCTTTGTTGTTGGCAGTAACAAGTCTTTGGCCTCACAAAGTAGGTTCTAAGGATGAAATCTGTTCGGCGACATGGAAATTGACACCGATTTCTGACCAGGTCAAAGACATAGTAAAAAATTGTTTGGAAGACGGGAACTGCATGTCTTTTTTTCAACCATTGGTTTACATCCGGGATCTTGAATAAATCGATTGTGTGAGTCGAGAAAAGTTCCATGTGACGATTTATGTGGAGAAAGCGAGAGTTTAACGGAGTAATATCATAGGTGACGAATTACTCCTTAATTTTGGCCCGAAATCATCAGCGACTTTTCACATGTGAAATTACAAAATTGCCATGGCAACCTTCCGTACTTCTCAGTGTCAAGATGGCCAGTAATGAAGATGCCAGGGCATAAAAAGACGCTTTAGAAAACCTGCACACACGAAAGAGCACATCAAGAAGGACTCTAACAGGTGTTTTGTCGAAAAATTCTGCAGTTAAGCCAAATTTTTAAAGCTCTAAACGTTCGAGAGAGGGGAGTTCTCTATCGATGCGATCCGGGATAAACATGTCAAAAATCTAAGATTGCTAAGTGAACGTAATTCGTCACCCATGATATTAATAGGTAATCAAATATTAATGGTATACTCGTGAAATTAGGGAATAATTTCACTTGCGTTTTGTCCAAATCCTAGTAATTTCCCTCGCCTAAAGGCTCGGGAAATTATAAGGATTTTAGCCTGCAAAACAGGCGTATTTTGGAGCGCGATCTATGAATTGTTTTCCGGAATGACGTTGACCCACCATCTTGGACGTCAAATAAATACTACCAAAGAGTTGGGACGAGTCAAAAACTGATTTTAAGGGAGAGTTTGATGCGTTTAAAATAGCGGAGGGGGAGGGGGAAGGGAGGAAAAAACTCTCCTGTCGCCTACACCCTCCCCCTTCCACCGCCCCTCCCCCTTAGTCTTTTCCGTTGCTGTTCAAGATGGCGGCCACGATCAATGTAGCTCCGAGTTTTCGTTAAAAAACGCCTGCTATGCAGGCTATAAGGATTTGGACAAAACACGCGTGAAGTTATTCCCTAATTTCACTTGTCACCATTTGATTACACATAATAATTTGACTATATTTCGCTCGTATTAAGTTTGGAAGTATTATGAGTGGTTTTCGGAAGTTTTGTGATTGCCGCGAAAGTCATTTATTGTGTGATTTACCGAAAGTGTTGACAGACTAATCTCAGGTACGTGCGGTTGAGCTCGTGTTACCAGAATACTTTGTGCCAAGCATAAAAACGCTTCGTGAGTGTTTAGTTTAGGTGATTTTGTCTTTGAAAGCCTATTCTGTACTCAAAGATTGTGCATTCTTGATCTGTTTTCGGCCGACACTGAGCCATGGGCCTCACGATTTGACTGACTAAAAGATTACAATTTCTGGACGTTTCAAATGTTGTTTATTTCATCGCAAAACCGTGTTACTTCCTCTGCGAGAGAACTTTACCGTCTATTGCCAGCAATAATACTGTCATTGTTTAGCCTCAGCTAGTGACTTTTAACTGCTTTCCATTCCAGTAAGATGTCAAATTGTTAAAATGCACTTGAAATTTCTTTAGCCACGTTTTATCAAATCCAGTCAGATATAATATATATATATTTTATTTGCAGTCATAGAAAACACGACGCCCGCATCTGTACCAGAAAATAACAACGTTATTTACATTTCACTTGGTGTCACCTCCGCTATTTTGCTGTTGTTGTTCGCTATTTTCGTCTGGTGCTACAGAAAAAGAAAGAAAAGGTTTGTGGAGCTCTGCTAATTACATCGTACAGCGTGCTCATACGTAATTCCAGCCTGCGTAGCTGGCGGATTTTTCCGTGTGTTTTTCTTTTCTGTTTCGTAAAGTAACCACGCGAAAGCTGAACCAAGGACAAAAAAGAAACGATAGGGTAGGGGGCCAGGGGAGAAGGCAGTTATAAAAAAACCTCCTACATACAACCCGTAGAGATTTTTGAAACCCTACTTCCAGTCTCGTAAAAGGAGGAGTTTGGCTTGAGAGTGATTTGACTGTCGCACCAAAGGTTTGTTGTTAACGACTTGCCTAGTCCCTGTACGGCGTTTTCCCAGTCCCTCTCGGTCAATTCACTTCGGTGACGTATCCGAAGCAAACTGGTGGGGAACGGCCTCACATTTTCGCTTGGACCACGTGACCCGAAACGCTTTGGCCGCGCGAAATAATGACGCATAGGGACTAGGCAAGTTAACGACCGTTTATTATGTTTTTTTTTAATGGCGCTTTCCCGGTCATTATTTGGGAAATAATTTTGTTCATCATAATTGGATTGTTGAATTGTGTCACCATCAGATAAAAATATTGATTTTATTTTTTAACAAAAGTCTCATTTGAAGTAACGAATGTTGATTTCTGACACATCGTAGAACAAAAGCAAAAGTGCACCCAAAGCTACTGTTAGTTCTCCGCTGTGCGAGGTATTTTTTTTTTCACGACTGGATTGACTATAATGGGGTCGCATTTTCAATAGAGTTGCTATAATGGGGTCGCACATTTTACTGATTTTTGGGGTAAGAAATTTCTTCATATTTACGGTTAGCAAACGTACCAGAATGTTTGTCCTGTAGGTGAAAAGTAAAGTGTTCTTCATTCAATTTTAAAAATGGGTCAATTCATTTTAGGATGACCCATTAAAGGATTGATAAGGTAGAATTCACAACTTGTTTTGTTGAAATTTCCCCGCAAGAGCTAATCGGCAAAAAAAACGCGACGGCCGTTCGGTCATTGCGCGCCAAAATTTTAACCGTTGGAAATAGTAAATGAGTTAAAAATCATCATTTTTGCGCTCAATTATCTCATTGTTTTCTATACTAAAACAATTATTCACCTCAGTGTCGGTGGCTAGTGGTGGATATTCATGACCCCGTCTTTTTTTGCCTTTTCCCCCACTGCGGTGCTTGGTCCCAGGTTATCCCTCCCCAGTTACACAATTTACTCTATTTTTCTCCCGCCTTCCCATCCCTGACATTTTATGGGCCTCCCCCGAGCTTCGCGAGATTCTGCGATACACGTATTTCTAGTTTAGAGATTATTTAGTCGCAGTAAAAAGCAATAGCTCTTAAAAAGAGAATGCTAAAACTCTGCATCAGAGGTCAAATCCCGGTCAAATCCTGTCAGATGCAAAGACCATAGGAAATCAATACGCGTGAAACTCATTTTCATGACCTCTGAATGTAAAGCAGCTGGCAAAAATATTTTAAAATGTCAAATTCAAGAATCCAAAACAGCATAATTTACCTGCTTGAAAGTAAAAAATTGAACAAATGGTATTTTCACTCGAGGGAAAAGTCGTGCAGGCCTGCCGCCCGATGCCTTAGTTCACTCTGCAGTGACTTTCAATTACTCCAGAATAACATGTGAAAAGGTCAGTAACCAGAAACCCATATCGATCTGTAGTATAGTGCTTATTCGGTTGACAAGTGGATAAAACCGTAAAACAATGCTTGATACGTCCAAAATATAGGACATGTAGCCTCTACCTTCGTGGTGCTCTGCACGCAGAAGGCGGTTATTTTGCTACAGATGATTGCTTCGCAAAAAAATCCGGCGGCCCGTCTACCAGAAGTGCGACCCATCTGCACGTTTCACATAAAAAAGCTAGAAGACCTAGAATATCTCGAGAATGTCCAGTGGATTTTTCTAAGACCTGAAAAATTTTTTCACGAGAGATATTCCAAAGTGAAGATGATAATAGTCACGTACATCAAAAGAAAAATCTCACTTTCGCTAACATTTCTAATCCATTGTTCATCACCTTATGCACAAGTCTTTCTACCGTTTCTTCTTCGTTGTTTTGTTACGAAAAGGCGAGCAAAGACTGCTGGAAAAACGCGAAACACAACAGATTTCCACGCCAATTCGAATCCGCTCGAGGATATTTCTAACCGCCATGCTATGACGTCACGCTATTGTGTCGCATATTTCACAAAAGTGGAAAAGTTCTGGACTGGTAACTGTACGCGTGAAATCGGTTGTTTTTACAAATAAAGTCGGGAAGAATTCTCCATATTGTGTGGGCGTTTTTAATAAAACAATTATTCTACTCGCGCTTGTTGGATATGAGATAATAATAGCCAACTCAGCGCTACGCGCCTCGTTGGCAATATCTACCATCTATATCCAACGCGCACTCGTGGAACAGTATACAACTATTCCCCGAAAGGGGAGGTGAATGGTAAACAACTATCTCCCGAAGGGGAGGTGAATAGTGGTAGCTAGATATACCGAGACGCGAAGCGTCGAGGTATATATCTAGCACTGTTCACCGACCCTGATGGGGATAGTTGTTTTAGTATTTACCAAATCAGTTGGACAAAAATGAAAAACTGAAAGTAACCTTTATGTAAAGTAAAAATGTCACTTATAGGAACTTTGTTTACAATTTACAAACATCTCGGTGATTTTGTCGAGTGCATTTTACTATTTTGTTGCAAATTCAGTATGAAAATAATTTTCTACCTACCAGTAATTATATATAAACACCGACAAGCCAAAATTCGTCGCTTTCTTGGTATTTGTTTGTACGAATACTTCATTTATCGCTCAAATTTCGTCTTCCGAAAATGTCTCGAAACGAGACCCCATCTTGGCTCTTGTCGCAAAACAGTGAATAGCCAAGGATATTCCGAGTTACGGGAGCCAATCAAAACGAGCGAAAATTGCTATTCACTGATTTGAAAAATACTAATGGTGGTGGGGCACATACCGAGACTCGAACCGTTGAGGTATATATCTAGCGTTATGAACCGACCCTGAGGGGGATAGTTGATTTAGTATTTACCAAATCAGTTGGATAAAAATCAAAAAGCAACTTTTTGTAGATAAAAGACGTCACTTAGTTAGAGTTTGTTTACGTTTCAATTGACATCGTTTCGGGGATCATTTTTTATGATTTTGTTGCAAACTCAGTAAGAAATTTTTTTTTCTACCGACCAGAAAACACCGACAAGCCAAATTTGGCCTCTTTCTTGGTATTTGTTGGTGCACCTGCTTCATTTACCGCCAAAATTTCATCTTTCGAAACTGTCGCGAAACGAGAAGCCATTTTGAATCCCATCCCAAAACATTGAATATCCGAGGATATTCCGAGTTACGGGAGCCAATCAAAACGCGCGAAAATTGCTATCCACTAATTTGGTGAATACTAATTGTTAATTAATATTGTGCTCAGCGTAATAATCCTGCATCAATTTTTTCCTTTTTCTAGGTCATCTTATTCACAACTAGAGCCTACTCCTCCTGACAAGTGGGAAATTTTACCTGAGCAAATACAGTTTGAGGAGGAGCTGGGGAGAGGGGAGTTTGGTGTTGTTCACAAAGCAACATTTAGAAAGAGTGATGAGGCGGAGGTTTTAAACAATGCGGAGGCAGCACAGGTGGTGGCTGTCAAAGTTTTACATGGTAAGAAATAATGTTATTTCCATAAAGGGGAGACATAGCCAAAGTCTTTGATTTTGCAACTGCAGTCCTCTTCATACTAAGAACCCTTTCGGATTTTAACTACCCTTTTCAAAAACACGCGAACTCTGAAGTTCAAAAGCCGCCTTCACAATTACGTTTTTCGCTGCCGTCAATCATGACTACATCACAAGCAACGAACCTTGAAACACAGAAACAATCAAAACGGATCAAAATCCACCAATCACAAATCAAAAACCATGACCTTTTGAGCTCGTTGAAGTAAACCTCTGTTTCGACGTGATATTAAAACAAATTACACCACCTAAAGGGATTGCTTGTGTAAGATAAATAGTTGGTATTATCGACGTTACGATCTTTGTAAGAGATAAAGTTGATATTATCGACCTTAAGAAGCACTCCGTTACTTAAAATTTCCAAAGTAGGTTTAATTTCTCAATCATCTGATTCTGGCAGCTAAATTCTTTATCTTTAAGTGTAAATTGAATAATACCCATCCTTCTAATCCTTCTAAACAAGTCTTCTAAGTCAAGATTAAGGCGCTTAATCAAGTAAAAAAGAAATAGCCAACAGGAGGAACAAACTAACTACACATTTAAGGAAAGGGAAGAAATATTTTGCCATTTGTAAGCCATAGAAGGGGTGTTCCGCATATGCGTCTCACTTTATGTTTACATGTAAGTTTATGATTTAAGGAAAATTTGCATGTAACACTGATGTCTAAACAAGTAATAATCTAAATAGCGTATATCGAAATTTGAAATTTGCTTGTATGCTTTGTGTTTTGTGTTTTAAGTAATTTGTAGTTTCTATTTCACCATGCAAGTGTGAAAAAAAAATTAACAAAACCTGTTAAGTTCCAAAAAAGTAGGTTTAAGCCGAAAAGCCCTAAACAAATGCATCTCTTACAAATTTACATTTCCCAAAAACAAAAGAAACTGTAAATTGAACCACAGTAGCCTTTGGCACATTATTCTTTTATTTTTTGCTATTATGCTAATGCTTAATGCTTAATGCTCAAAATGTTTACTAAATTATGCTCTTTTGGCCCTGCTAAAATGCTCGAAAGTTCCATCAATACATACACAATAATAGACACAAAAATTTCAGTAACTAGAATGTATGTGTTACTCTTTTGTCTGAGCCATCCATACTGGAATATCAAGCAAACAAAATGGGTAGGTACTTTAAGTAGGGTTACACTTTAATAACCCTACTTAAAGTACCTACCACAAAATGGCGGCTGCACACGCTGAACCACTGACCAGTATGAATGCGGCCATTGACTAGACCCAGGCTCTCACTAGTTTTGGCTAGAAACCTCTGTAAATATATATGTTTGGCTGTTTTTCGGTGAATTTCATCACTTTAGACAAAATTTTCCTTTTTAATGATACAAAAATCTTGCTAAAATGCTGGCATTTAATGCTCGATGCTTTTGCCATGCTATTATGCTCAAAATAATGGTAGCATAATATGCCAAAGCCTAACCTACAGATAGAATTAAAGCCAATAGTGAAGTAAGTCCGGTTTTAAAAAAAGCTAGTCTCCCCGCAGACGTCCTTTGGAGTTCGAACGAACCCCAAAGGACGTCTGCGGGGAAGCTAAAAAAATGCAAGCTCTACTCAATATTACTACTCCTTCTGAAGGATCGGATACATATAAAGAGATTTTGGCTCCCCCTTTTGTAATCCATGTCGTCCAGTTTACTCCGCAAGTCGTTTGATAACGACGAAAAGGGAATTAAAATTATGAAACTGAGCTACGACATCAACAAGCTGACGGCTAGACCCAGTGTGTGAGCGGGGTCCAAGGGCATGATTTTTGACCCCTTTATGTGTGAAATTGGCTCTAAAAAAACGTGAAACAGGATAAGGTTTTGCTCTACCTTGTACCAGGTCTGTATTTATTTTTTTGTACTTTATTGTTGGTTTGTTATTCATTTATTTCGCGTTTTATGAACAGCAGTTTAGGTAATGAGGGAAATCACATGGTCACATCACACCACCACCCGATACTCAGAGACCTACCGGGGCTGCTGGCAGGGTGCAGTGGTAAACTGAAAATAGTAACAAATGTCTGAATATTTCTCGATATTCTATTACACGGTAGAATACATCTGTATACACCCTTGTGCATTAGAGGATGAGTGGGAGGCGGTAAAAATGGACGAATATATTTTTCAAATGAAACATTTTGCACTGAATAATGCTGAAGAATAACAATAATAAAATCAATGTCATTTTATTCAATTATCTTTAGATAATCCATCTGAAGCACAGAAAGAAGAGTTCACGTTTGAGATTGAGCAGATGAAACTGTTGGGTTCACATAAGAATGTTGTATCCATGGTTGGATGCTGCACGCTTCAGGAGAAAATGTTCCTGGTTATAGAATACGTTCCCAGTGGTGACCTGCTGACGTGGCTACGCCGCAGAAGAAAAAAGGTATAAAGGACATGAACAATTATACAATTAGTTTATAACGAAATTATCAAGAAACAGATATAGGGAGGCAATATTACGAATATATTTTGGTACTATCAGAACATTTTGTACAACTTATTTAAGCAATTGCAGTTACTTCAAAATTATAAAAGCATTTAATGATAATACTAACAATAATAATTATATTATTATTAATATTATTATTATAATTTTAAACGTGTTTTATCCTTGGGTGTAACAATGATAGGGGTGGTATTAAAATCCTCCTTACGAATCTTAGTCCATAAAACCTGGTGTGCCTTTAATTAGGGGCCGTAATCTAGTATGGAGATAATAACTTTTTGACTGTAGGATCGCTTGAAGCCATGCAGACGTAAAGTACGGTTTTTGTTACTTGCTTGATGTTTAGATCGAAGAACTTCAAGCTACCGAGAGATGTTATGCTGACAAAGAGGTTCTGAAAGATCAGGGAGAGACCAGAGATCATGTAGGCTTGTATATAAACTGTAGTCTAACTTTCCATTCTAGCTCTGTCTTAAATGGTCTATCAAAGATAGAGCTACAATAGCTTTGGTAGACCTATTGTAGCTATCTAATATACCCATCCGATTGTTGTTGAATGGTTTACACGTAACGTAATCATACTTCAAAATAAAGAATTATTTATCCTTCTGAGTTTCAATTTAGTGAACTATTAGAGCAGCTGAACACGTGTGTTTCCACAAAGTTTCAGTTCGAAAGGGTTCTTCATTTTGTGACAGAATACGTTTGAATATTTTAATATATTGCGTGAAGCGACAATAATGGGGCAGCAAAAGCTGTCACGTAACTGTAAGTTAAAGAGTGACATATCTTTTTTTTAGATTTTTTTTATCTGAACAGTCCTTGTTTTTTGAATAAGTATTAAGTTTAATGTTTATGAGCTGTCTTGAGATGAGTACTCGCTTTATGGCAATGTTTCTGTTAGTTTTCGGTTGCCATATCTGTAAGTGTTCCTTAGTGGGACGCCAACATGGCTGGCGTCTCAAAACAAAGCTCTATAAATTTGGGTAACACATATCTCCGAATACCTCGAAAACAAAAAAACTGTACAGACCTGAATCTTAGCAAGACTTTTCGCATATCCCTTAGATTCCTGATCGAATTTATTCATTTTCACACAGGTCAGTAAACTTGCTAAGAAACTCATGCTTACCTCCATCGATCCATCGATGTTAAGTTTATCTTCGATTGTGCACGTTTAGGGTCGGTTCAGCTCCGAAAATATTCTCCAAACAGCAGATGTCGCCCTTCGAGTTGTCTTCTTGCTGTTCTTGCCATGTTTTTAGTTATTTTTTTTAACTAGTTCTTACTCTTGAAACGAGTGAAATGTCCGCCATTTTTCAAGTTCACAACCAAAACAACTCAACCTTGTCCCCAGGTCTTCTCGGTTAACGGTGCATTAACCCGCAAGAACGCTGCATTTTTGACGTCATTTCCTCGCTGAACACAAAATTCTTCCACATTTGGTCATCGGTAACTGGTTATGGTGAATTAAATGTGTGCTTTTAGCCAATCAGAATCGGGGAAATATTTTGAATGAATAATAATCGATAAAGAGCGATTGATTAAATTGAAAATCGATAAAAATTAATAGGGGAAAAAGTTGTTGCTAATCGATAATTGTCGACTTTACTCGATTTTTATCGAAGTTTTCGATTTTAATCGGCCGCTTACTTAATTGGGTTAACTTTGGAAAAGATCTTGTTTCCGAACATAAGTATATTATTTATGTGGCTTTGGACGGTTAAATTTGTAGCGAAATTTATTTCACAAATTACACTCAATATTCTTACTAAACATTTTCGGCCAATCGACAGGATAAAAAAGAGTTATAAACAACTGTTTTGGCTTGCTTGCACTGGAAACTGTTCAAGTTGAACCCTACAATGTAGATATAGTTCAAGTGGTGAGGATAATGTTCAGTGCACAGTTTTTCAGCAAGACCCTTAAATTGCTTCCTCAAAAAGGATATTGGAAAGGATCATTTAAATCGTTCTGTAAATATGCAAAACAAAGTAGATAATGAACTCCGCAACTAACTGGAAAGAGAAGTAGCATGACCATAAAACATGATAAAAATGTGAGAGAAAATCATCATTTAAAACAGAAAACATCTGCGTGTGGCTAAAATAATTTTCTTTAAAATAATGCATTATTAGGTTTTGAACCTGAGAGGCAATCGATAATATCGTTAAAATAGTTAAACACGATAGCGTTGACAATTGATTTTCTGATATCGGTTTTTATCGATTGCGCTAGTCAGGTGTAATACGCAAAAGTTGTCACTTTATTTAATGATCTGGGAACCGCGAAGCGCCTCTTTATGGAAGAATTAGTTAACTATAAAGACGTTTCGAAAAATCAGAGAGAGGTTTGGGGATCAAGTAGGCTTATCACAAGACTAAATTTGGTATTGAATATTTTACTGATCAGGCCTACTAAAGATCCAGGCCTACTAAAGATCACTGGTTTGTCGTTGTGGTTTTGCCTTCAGAAGTGTTTCTTATACCACAAAACATGTTACTTGCTAATCGATAATAATTGACTTTAATCGATTTTTATCGAAGTTGTCGATTTAATCGGCGCTTACTTAATTAGGTTAACTGCGTGACATAGTAGCCTGCGATCAAGCTCTCCAGGGCGCTCTGGCGGCGGGGCGGGGAAAGGAAGGAGAGCTTGCAACTACGTCTCTGGAATTTGAATTCTACCTCCAATTCGCCTGTGGCTCCCCGTCGACTGAGCTGTCAGATTTCCAACAATCAGCGCGAAGCGGAAAAGAGCGCGATTGTAAACAAAAAACACGTGCCAAGGGTAATGGCGTCATTACTAATGTCATCTCCGCCAATCAGCATTTCGCATCGACTTATTCATTTTCCAGAGACGTAGCTACAAGATCTCCTTCCTTTTGCCGCCGAGCCGCCAGAGCGCCCCAGAGAGCTTGCTCGCAGGCTATTTACATGGCGCATGAGAGAGCTGCCATGGGGGCTGAAAAAATGACTCTGTTGGGGGGATTTTGCTATCTGAATGGTCATTGTATTAATGTCAAAGTTAATGAGTTCCTCAAGAGATGAATTCACCCTTAAGTAGCACAACTCCGTGACACATGTTTCTGTTGGTTTCCGGCCGCCATGTTAGTGACCATCCTGATGGGCACCAACATTGCGTCTCCATATAAAGCTCTATAAATGTAGGTAAAAAAATTCTCCGAATTTCTCGCGCTTGAAAAATTGCACCGACCTGAATCTTGGCGAGGGCCTTTGTATATTTACCTTCTTTCATTTCCCAGATTCTAGACTTTATCTATTACACGAGTTTGATTTTTATTTTTAATAGCGTGACAGTGAAAACCTGCAATAGCGTTACATTTTTTCTACATGTAAATGTCATCGCCATTTTCTTTAATCATTTAGAAAAGTTTGGCTGATGAGTATGAAGTTAAGGAGGATCAACATTCTATACACCAAGACCAAGAAGACATTGCAGTGTCTCCGCAACAAAGCAACAAAGATGCCGTTCTTGAAGTGATTCCATCGACTTCCACCGAAGTAGATGTAAGACGAAAACAAAAACACTATAATAATTACTTATTCACTAATAAAGAAGAATTTGCCTCTAGGGCGCCTTATTTTGCTTACGTTTCGCGTTAGAAGGACACAACATGATCTTGGTTTTCCTGTGCCACTAATGTGTTTCGTCGATGGTGTACCTTTTCTGCGCTGTCTTGGATTTACGTTTCCGCGTCTTGTTTTCATTCTCTTGAGCTATTTTCAGTTGCGGGCTTGTGACTTCCAGAACGATGGCTGATGTAAGGAATTGTCTAGTAAAATGGTGTGTTTGTTGTTTTCAATCAGTACCTCGTGTATCAGCAGGTGGCCGAGACTTTCTGGGTAAACATCAAACTGTGGGCATAGATTTCATCCTAGACTTGAAAACAGTACCCTGGACCCAAAGTCAATTTTATCTACCTCTAGACTGGTCACTTTGAAGTTACTTTTAATAGATAATACTTATATATTCTGTGTCTCTTGTCTGGCTCAAGCAAATTATGTTATTTTTATCTTTTTATCCGTTAGTTACTTATTTACTAACAAGAAAAGTAATTACTTGAAAGCTGTGCTGTTTCAAGCTAAACCAAAAATTTGATAGTTTTTTTATCAATTAAATTAGGATGAGGAATTCAAAGTGACTGACAGAGAACTTCTAACCAGGCCAACGACATCACTAGGAAAAACTCAAGCTTCTGCAATGCCACTTTCATTTGAAAACCTAGAGGAGTCAGGCGAGGATCCTTGTGACGTAGAGGAGAACTTTTCTACCAAACAACTGTTTTCATTTGCCTGGCAAATAGCTAAAGGAATGGTAATTATCTTGTTTTCTGGATAATGTTGCTGGGATTCTGATACTGAGTATAACTTGGAAAGAAAAATTCAAAAGTCAATATTTTATAAACATGAAATAGATGGGATAAATATATTGGCTGTTTTTCTAGATATGAGTACATTAAAATGGCTTATATGGAAAAAAATTTCTTTTTGGTCGACCCAGTTTTGGCTAAATTCGTTTCGTTATGCATCTAAAAGTAAATATTTGGATCAGATCAGTGCCGATATTTACTTTTCATTTGTATTTTTTCATCTATACTTAACTACTTAGTGTTCCCCGTACCCCCGTTATTATGTTTTATGATCATTTTAATAGTTTTTTCGTTGCTTATTTGTTATTAGAATCATCTCGCCGAAAACAATCTTGTTCACAGAGATCTTGCTGCCCGTAATGTTCTTGTTGGCCATGACAACCAGATCAAAGTGTCAGACTTTGGGTTGATGAGACAAATCTATGAAGATGTGAGCAGCTCAGCGAAGTCCAGGAAACTTCCTGTAAAGTGGATGGCCCCAGAATCACTTTATCAAGGGGTTTACACGACCAAAAGTGATGTGTAAGTGATGAGTTTTCCCGCTCCCTTGACAAGGGAACTATTGAAACTTTTCTACTTAATCACTTCTCAAAATTGTAGTTGCCGTCAAAAATTACAGAAGCATATAGCTCTGAAGCGCCTAAATCCCCTTATTTTTTATAACCATGCTAGGGTTTTTAGCCGTCCAATTAGAAGCACGGAAAATTGTTTGCCTAAATATGGAATCATAGTATTGAAGGCATCTCTGTCGAAATAAATAGCTGCTAAAAACGGATTCTTCCAGTCCTTAACAGTTTTCCAATTACATCCTAAACTCAAGAGTACACGCATTTTTGGGCTTCTCCGTGGGCAGTAAACAATCTAAATGCCGTGAATCTGTACATATTTATAACCTCTTTGATTTTTCTCATAGTTGGTCTTTTGGTGTTGTTCTTTGGGAAATGGCTACCTTGGGTGAGTGGACAGTAATTTTGTAGTTTACAGTTGTTATGTTAAATTTGAGGTGACTGACAAATCAAAAAAACATTTTTCATGGTCTACGACTCTTATAGACAGTAGAAATGATGTCAAAATGTTGAAAACTCATGCACGACCCGCAGGATAATAGTTTTACACTGCAAAGTTTTGAGCTCTCCAAGGGAATTAAGGGGACCGTGCCTTAACCCACCTTCCCCGTTTTGCCATGGTGGGATGTGGCTTATAACTGTTACGATTGTTATCAAGTTACTGCTCCCAGGAAGGGCGAAAACAATGTTTTATAATGTTTCATTTGCGGCAAGTTTTAATTTTGTTGTTTGATCTGGGCTCTGTTTTAATTGATTAAGTGCTGTGAGACAAGACATCTCCTAGATGATAACCGTATGTGACAATACATATTTCAATATGTCAGATTTAAAAATTTGCGAGCATTTGATGACCGGAAACGAGCAGCCTTATTGTTAATCACCCTGCCTTCTTTCATTACACATTTAACTGCATTGGCTATATATCAGACCTCTATTCAATCAACCATTTTTGCAAAATGGCCTTATTGAGTTTATATGAGGAGAAGTGACAATCGACTAAGGCATCTTTAATAGAAATCTAACTAATGGAAAATTGCATGTATTCAGTTGCTGATATGTAATCATTTGTTTTCTTTCTCGCAATTGTCAGGAGGCGTACCATACCCCACGCTGACCAACTCAGAGTTGTATCGACTGCTCGGTACTGGTTATCGCATGGAAAGGCCTGACATGTGCTCCGATGACGTGTACGTTTCTTGATTAGAGTGATCTTAGATTTAACAAACAGATTCGATTTTTCTGTGCGTCTGCTCAGTTACATTTCACACCGAACGGTGCAGCATACGAACTTGTCAAATATTTTAACGCCTTCTTTGATCATATTAAATACTGACCAGACGGACGGCAGGGGAAAACTTTTGATGGGGTCCTCACTCTTTGAACAAGGAAACCCTCCATTGGCTTTATGGTCAATAAAGGCATCATTAGTAGTGATTAGGTTAATCTCTTTCCTGGGTTCGGGGGAAGTACTCCATGTACTAGGGGGGCACCCCCCAAAAGGGGTACCTCTGTCAGTCTTCTGGTATAGGAATTTTGCTAGTCGAAGTATATGAAAGGGTAGGGAAATCTATCATTTTGGTCTGCAAAATGACTTAAGAGGACCAGATAAGATTTTCTGGCTGTGTGGAAAAGTCGAGAAAATTTTCTAGTCTGTTATTTATTCGTATTCAAAAGGAAATACATTTTTCAGCAATTAAAAGAGATAAAGTTAAAGTTCTTTTCTGTCAAAAATGATACTCAAAAGGATAAGGGGTTGGACCTTGGGGCAGAGCTTTACATAATAATGGCTGGATGAAGGAATAGGGAATCGCGTGATAACCAAAACGTTCCAAGAGCCCATTTTAATGGGCTTTACGTGGAAGCTTCACCCAAAAGGAGTACCTTTTTAGGCCACATGTATATGGAAAGGTAGGAATTTCACGCGCTAAAATGTTTGAAATGATAGGAAATTTTGTAACTTCGGTAATTTACACTAAAAGATATTTTAAACAGAGGTGCCTTTATTGTATGCTTAATGTTAAGGGCTTAATGGCTTAAAAAGTGAAGTAGTCGTACCATTGTTTCAGGGTAGGCAGGAAAGGAATGTATATGAAAGGGGTACCTTTTCTGTCATGAAAAATGCCGTATAAAAGGAGTTGGACCTCAGGGTGGAGCCTCCCTGTAAACTCATGAAGCTAAGACGCCTATACATTCTACTAAAAAAATTTCTTTTATTCCAATAGACCTCTTTCGCTTGTATGTTTTGTTTTGCCAATACAGTTCATGTCTAACGGTCAAATTCCCCTGGGACCTCTTTTGGGAAACCAAAACATACAAGCTGTAAAGAGGTCTATTGACACTATCTAATAATTGACTGGAGCTCTTCTAAGCATTGAATGGTTCCTTTTTTTTTCAATTCATAACAGATATGAGCTGATTACTGAATGTTGGAACGAAGACCCTTACATTCGTCCCAGTTTCTACCGTTTGATCGAAAAAATGGAGGCGATAATGGAAAGGGACGCACCATATTTAAATGTAAACAAACACAATGAATATCATCCGTATTACAACGTGCCTCCTGAAGCTAGTGATGATTGATATGGAGAAGAAGGAGCATCCCCAATAATCGGACAGTTAAAGACGGAACGAGTATAAACAGTAAATGCATAGTTATTGACTTAGAAACTAAGCTAAGAAAATACTGAAAGAATTAAAACAAACATAAAAAGAGCTTTAAGCATAAAAAAAAGAAAAAACAAGTGTAACAGTAAGGCCTTTCAGATGTTATCAGGAGCCCATCACCCAGGGATGTAAATCTCTCTTATGGCGTGTTTAGATTTTAACTAGGCTATTTATAGATTAATCTTTCAGGCCAAAAAAAACGGGACTGAGTAGGACTTCCAGCAATCAGCGGAGGAGATCAAAGAAGTATAAAGCGATTAAGGTTTTAACTGAATGACAAACCTTAACAGTTAGCCACTATCTGAGAAGATCAACCGCCATGTTGGATTGCACCGAAGTTGTTTTTAGTGCACAGCCATTTTTTCGTAAACGATTGACGTAATGTCTTACCCTTTCATCGACAATGCAATGCAAAAGAGTGTGATATCTGGTTGCTAAAATGCTCGTCATTCAGAACGTTGAAAACTTTTGCGCTGAAATAACACTTTTATTAAGCACCCACAGATTTGTCATATAATAACCATTTAGTTTCTCTACGGGCTCAGATTTGCAATAAAAACAAACTTTTTTTAATGGTTTTAGAAGACAGTTATCGGGTTAAGTACCCTTCTTAAAATACAAACCAGCGTTAGCTCTAGCCTCTGGATGAAATAGCTCCATGACAAAAAAAAAACTTACCTTAAAAAAGAGAGAGAAAGAGAGAGCCTTGAAAAAAGAGAAAAACCTTTAACGAAAGGGCCTTAAAACATCCAGCTTGGTAATATAGGATAAAAAAAAAATGTGATCCTAGCCCCACCATTTGTAAGGTGAAATCCCGCTTATAATTAGATGCCCCGGGTTTCAGGGCGAGATGGGACAAAAGCGTTTCTTCAATGGGCCTCCCGTGGCTTTAAACTCTCAATAGAGTATAGGGTGACTTAAAGTCAGTATATACATAAAAAAACCTTGCAATGCCGGGTTGGACTCCGCACTCCCATGCTCCGGTGGAGTTTCAAAGGATTTCTGACTACAAGTTACCCTGTATTTATTACTTTCAGTAGTGTAAATTATAAACAAAGGGGTTTAAATAAGAATCTAGGTATTACATATTTAACTATTGTTTTAACGCTTTACAAAATCCTTACGACATATATAGACTGGATGAAATACCTGTAACGCTATCAGTATGATTAAAATAACATTGTTCCGCACTTGGCTTGCTTTATACTTTAGCATTTCTTATTTCAAATTAGTAATCATGTACATGGTTTGACCATTGAATGACTGCATGACCTGATAAGTCTTTAACGTCGCGGTATTCCTTTGTTTGTCCGTCAGTTAAGCCATGGTGCCCTAGTGTCACGTTTTTTTTAAAAAAACTAAAACGTCCTTTGTCATAGTTATATCTTTCCTTACATTTGTCGGCAAATTGCAAGTTACAATAACAAACAATTATTCGATACATCCTTGCCATTGTTTCCACGTGTTCTAATTGATTAAAACAAGAAACGCCTAAGACGCTTGACCTCGGTGGGCATGGAAGAGCATACAAACGCGTGCGCATTACTCAAGTGTCGTGATTTTACTGGCTGATCACCAATCGCGTCTCCATAGATCCCTGTTGGCCATGTGTTAAGTGTCCTGACGCGTCTTTGGTGCTGACCAGAGAGAAAACGGGCTCTTGAGACGAGATTGGCCGATGACAACAGCCGCAAAGAATCCAACAAACCAATCACGGCTGTTATGACAACGCCAAAACAATCAACTTGTGCCATGAAAGCAAAAGCGAATTCCGCTTGGGTGCAAGAAATGTTTGAGCCAATTTTAAGCGCAGTGATGTCAAATCAAGCGCACAGTCAATGGAAGGTACCCTGGATGCCAGACCTCTTCCCGCTCATCAGCGGCGATGGAGAAGCGTAAAGAGCGAAGTGCTAAAGTGCTGGCCCCAGTTGTTCAAAACGTGGATAAAGCTATCCGCTGGTTAAATCTCTATGTAGTGGATAACGCAATTAGTTTCCCTATAACACTCATCCACTGGATAGTGATTTATCCGGTGGATAGCTCTATTCATCGTTTGAACAACCAGAGCCTGGTCGGCGAGAGATTTTTTCTGTCTCTTCGCTTCGCGACTCGCTTTCGCGGGTTCCAAAGGGAAAAAACCTCTGTCACCCTGTGTGGTTAAAGACCAAATAACGTTTTGCAAGGGCTTTTCTGGGTTAATTGCTGTAAGAAGGAGCTCCAACATGTTAACTATATTTAACACTTTAAACTATTATTTTAAGTAATTTTCCGCTATCATCTCTTCAGCCCTTCCCTGCCAATGTACAAATGACTATATATTGTCTCATGGTATGAGGGAAACTTCAAGGATTCAGCGTAGTCTAAGAAAATAGACTCAACGGAAAGCTTCATTATTTTCCCAAGGGATTTTTTTCTTAACCAGGGCGGGGTTGTTGAAAGGTGGGTTAAGATAACCTAGGGTTATTGCGAAATTTGAATTCAGGTATGGAAACTTTAAAAGTAATCCAGTTTAATCTTTTTTTGCATGTGATTTGCTAATTAACCCATGCCACTGATTTGTTAATTGGATGCTCTAAAAAGAATTGAGAAAATTATCCCGGAAAATGCTTTTTGGACTTTCTAAAAAGCCCTTCGTCCTCTCATGACTTCTTCGCTTGCTTGGCCACTTCGCGGCCTAAAATTAGGGAACTTAAGATAGAGACGTTTTCGGGGCGACGGCAACTTCAACCGGACGTGACATCATCATTTGTTGGATATTGCGCATGCTCCTGCTCACCACCTTGCCGTCGTGGTCCCGTCGGCGACGTGAAACTGGTCTGTTTGGCGTTGTGGCGAAAACGTGAGTATTTAACTTTCATTTCAATCAAGTTTGTTGCGTTTAGCAACCAACATTTTGCAGATTATCGTTCTTAAATTGTCCTTGTTTTCTTTGAGGCACATTTCAAGCTCGATTTCTAAGCTCTGTTATCTAAACTTACATCTTTGAATGTTTCTCTGTTTTCATGTCACAGGGTCAAGATCCAACCTGGCAAACGGCCAACCGTAAGTGAGCTTGACATGGACAAAATTTTCCTACGAGCCAATTAAAAGTATCCAGACAAAAAATATGTACTCCGATATTTCAATTGTGTGTTTTTAGTTCGCTCTTTTCGTTAGGATATCGTATAAATGAAACGCATTGAAAATTATATAGAATAGTAGGTAATACATGTACTAACTCGGCGTGGGAATACTGAAATAAAGTTGTTGCCGTTGTTGTTGTTGTTGCATGCAAGTATTTCCCGGGAATTATTTCAATACCAAACTAAGAATACGGTTCCTTGGTAGCATTTTAATGTTCCTGTAATTTGCAAGGCTTCGGCAAGCCTGTGGAGATCATTTTTTTTTTCAACACAAAATTCTGCCTTGAACTCAGCTGCATCCCGCATGTTTTTTAGCGTGAACGGATGGTAACTGTCCCGAGGAAAATCGGGATTTTTGGACTCATAATTTTCCCACAAAACGAGAAACTCTTCATCTGATACATGTTGTCTGCATAGCAAATATTTATTCTCTTAATTCTTTATGTGAAGTTATATTTTCCTCTTCGGTATTCTTCTAATTAAAGGCGCCGTCCTTCTGAGTTCACTGCGATCTTAATGTTCTATTTTTGACGGGAAGCGACGGCTGCCTTAGTTCCAGGCTTTCTCTGCGAGTCCGGTCGCCGTCGCCCCGAAAACGTGTCCATCTCAAGTTCCCTATTAAGTCTAAAAACGGTGGCCCATATCTGCAAACACAACAAACATTTCTTGAAACACAATATATTCCTGGAACACAACAAACATTTTTCCAAACACAACACGGTATTAACCGAACACAACAAAGGTTTAATTTATGGAAACACAACACAATAATATCCAAACACAACACGATATTTGCAAAACACAACACAAAATTCTCCCTACTACATAATGCAGGATTTGTTGCAAAACAAAGCTTGAACCCATATTTACTCAACCGCTGACATGTTATGCGCCTTCCCCGCATGTGTCAATCTGTCGCAAGAATGGATGTGTTTTTTTTAAGCGCTTGAACTGATGAGAAGAGCTCGAAGGAAACTGACCAATACTACTCTAGATGTGGAGAAGCCGTAAACAAAGAGAACGTTCTCATACGTGATTATTTTCAGCGTGGGTTTGATTACTCGGTTATATTACTCTTTTTAGAACAGTACCATGCAACAGCATGTCTATGCGTACTTTGAACTATAGGCTTAGCGAGTACACGGATTAGAAGAAGGAATACGAACAGTAATGTTGGCGAAATTTATCAGGCCATTCAACAAGAATTTTGTGTTGTGTTTTGGGAAAATTGTGTTGTGTTTTGCAAATATTGTGTTGTGTTTCAATAATCCGTGTTGTGTTTCGATAAACTTTTGCTGTGTTTAGATAATACCGTTTTGTGTTTGGAAAAGTGTTTGTTGTGTTCCAGGAATATTTTGTTGTGTTTCAAGAACTGTTTGTTGTGTTCGCAGATATGGGCCACCGTTTTACGCTAAATGCTTTTGAACAAAAAGAAAAGAAACGCGGATTAAAATATCACCCCGGATTAGCGCTAATCGGCCTTCGAAGAACTGGGCCCAGAAAATTAGCACGGTTGTTTTTATTGAAGAAAATTGAGAGTCCTTTTCCAATTGTCGTCGCTTGTGTACGTTCCCCATAACACGTGAAATTAGACAATTAGTTTCACGTCATTGTCGCACAGGGGCAGCCAAAGTTAAGATTTACGGGAATTTACAGGAGTCTTCACCTTTAAGTTTTAAAACAGAATTGAAAATCGAGAGTAGCCCTCGATTAACTTAACCTTGT